TGGGGGAGCCGTGCGGACACCATCAACAGGCAATCTAACATAAAACATAAAATAAAAATCTTATTTATCATTTAAGTTCCAGAAAAGAACGAAGACGCGTGATTTTATTTATTAAACATGTTAGCGCCTTCTTGGAGTTTGTTTAAAATGTTTTTCAGTGATTTTATGTGATGCGCGTTTGCTATAACATCTCCTGCCGCACAAAATGCTGCAAAACCGTAAAATCAGATGTTTGACCACATGTTTAACAAACAAATACCTGAAAGTAAGGTGTGATTAGACTAATGTCAGACTAATGTCTTCATTAAAGTATTTAATTAACTTTTATTAGGGTAAATGCCGTCATTTTCATTCCGCCTTTCAGGGTTCTTGATTATATATCCGAGTTAATTAAGTGACTAAATCTGAGCCCAGACGCTGCGTTACTGCCTCAAACGGAAGAATAAAGTCAAATTGAGGGGATGAGACGTGGACCCGGAGCTCTTCTGTGGGGGTTTGGTGCCTCCAGCTCGCGCTGCGGCTGGCTCGGTTCGGCTCGCAGGGTCCTCCCACCCCTCCTCTCCGCACGACTTGCTGCAGCCCGGTGCGTTGTGTAAGACGCGACCTGTTATGGCCACCACTACTTCCGGGTTTCAGCAGTCTGGCCCAGCTCCTCCGCTCCTCCTCAGCTCAACACACACACCCATTGTACACAAAAACGGGCAGGCGGCTCACGCATACACACACATGTATACATACACACACGCACACATACGCGCACACACACTCACAGGACACATTCGCACACTCACGCACAGCATCGATCGTGGCTCCTTTAAGAAAGCCTAAGCCAGAATTATCACCCCACCTCCTCTTGATCTCCTCTAGACGCTTTTGCATAAGAAAATCAAGCCGGGAGCCGAGAGTGATCAAAGAAAACCAGAGGAGAGCTGCTTCATTTTTTAACTCTGATTGTGACCATTAACATTTAGGCGGTGCCGAGCCCGTGGAGACGCGCGTCGGACCATCATTCATCCGCTACTTTTGACAAGCCCTCGCGTTCTGACTGACAGGCGGAGTGGCACAAAGCCATGAAAGTCACCAGTTTGGTTTGAGGAGCTTTTTAAAACATTTTCCCCCCTTCATTCTGTTTTTTTCTGGGGAGGGGGGGGGGAGGATCCCGGTGCCGCTGCAGCGAGGAGAGCCGAGGAGGGATCCGCCGCGCCTGGGCTGAACTTGCACCGAGAGCGGGAGCTGGCTTCACCGTTCCGTGGAAAACAAAACAAAAAGAGAGGCGTACGGGATTCTGGCTGAGAGCTCTTCTCGTTTATTTGGATTTTCTTCCTTGATTTCGTGTCCACGCTGGCCTGAGAGGGGATTTACTTAAACTGTGAGGACGGACAAGGAGTGAGGAGGGTTATGGCGCAACGGGTACGTAGGGCAAATACTGCCTTTTAAAAGTTTCTCTAACGTCCACTGCGCCTGAACGCGATGCCTTCTGTGATGCCCGGGGACACACTGTCGCGGGGAAAGTTTCTGACACATGGAGACCAAGTTTCGTGTTTGGCGTCTTTTTTTGGCATGGTGTTACGCACGGTCGCACTCGCTTGCTTCACAAACCGGCTCACTGTGGGCTTTAGGAAGCGCGATCATATCTCACGTCGGCTGTGTTTTTTAGATTAGTTATGACAGGCCAGTAACTGGGAGCGAAACGGGGAGGGGAGAGAGGCCAGAGAGACTAAACACATCCCCGCATTTGGACCAAAATGTCGCAGAAACTTTGGTTGTTCTTTCACCTGCAGACTGGACAGTTGCGCTAAAATGATTGCAGTTGAGGGTCTAGAGCGCTCTGATCTCCGCAGAGCCTCGGATTCTGCCTGGGAGGCGATCCTCACGCGGACAGTTGACGGTGTTAGTTTGGCACCGGAGCTGCTGCACGCTGGGGTTTGCACCTCTTTGCCTTTAGGGTCGAAACGCTCAGCTTTAAGTGATAATGCATTTTACTCTCTCCCAGACACTTGTTTGTCACCTCTTGAGAGCATCATCAATAATTCAGACGCATTTCCAGTCTGCTAAAGAGGCACGCAGAAATACACGCATCTTAAAAGAAAACCGCGTCTTTTAGAGGTACAACAATGTTTAAAAGTTTCATTTAGAGTAAATAAACATTTTAGTAAATATCAGATAAATCAGGTTTAATTTAACTGAACTATGAGGCATGATAAAGTTGGAACTTTTTGGTCTAAAATCAACTCGCCTTTAGTTGCAGCGTGTTTACTTGCTGCTAGATTATGAGCCTTTAAAATAATAAAATAAAAATCACACCAATGAACGAGTTTAAGACTTGTTGCCAACGCAGGTCGCCAGGCTGAAGCCCATCGGGCTCGGTATTAATAAAACACAGTCCGAGACTCGTCGCTGGAGTTTTTCTACTTTAAACATGAATTATTCATGCGCTTTGTTTTCTCTGGGCATTAAGAGCCAGCGGGAATAAAGTGAATAAAAACGAGTTTGCACTATAGCGTTTCTTGTTGTAGACATTGTTGTGCTTTAAAACTTTCCTGGAGAGATAGAACAACTTTTGGTGAGTTTGTGCCTCGTGCTTATTTTGAGTTTGACGCGTCAGGTATTTGTGGAAAGTTGAAATAAAACATATTTCGCTTCCTATTGAAATATAAAAGAACAATTGTAGGTTATTTTTCTATAATAATACATTTAAATAACTTTTTGGGCAAACCGTGAATTTAAAATTCGAAAGTAATTTTTTAAACATTTTTTTATGATTAATTTTTGGTTGTAACCATTCCAGAAGAAAAGTTTTCTCATGCATGTTTTTGTTCCCGTGTTTGTTGTGTGCAGTACGAAGACTTGCCCCACTACGGGATGGACAGTGTAGGCATCCCGACCACCATGTATGGAGACCCGCACGGCGCCCGGTCCATGCAGGCTGTGCACCTCAACCACGGTCCGCAGCTGCACTCTCACCAGTACCCGCACACTGCCCACACCAACTCCATGCCTCCCAGCATGGGCTCCTCCGTTAACGACGCTCTGAAGAGAGATAAAGACGCAATTTATGGGTAGGTGCGCCACCGGTCCGCGGGGAAAGGCGTTCCCTGGTGGACGGGCATGTGTACCCGGGTCTGCATGGGGACAGCTGGGGAGGGACCGCGGGTGAAAGATGATCACCGCGTCTGGAGATGAAGGGAACTCTAGTTTGAGTTTTTAGTTTTAATTAGACATAATTTGGACTTTTATTCTTAAACTTTCACATATTTGTTTATATTGAAATAATTAATTAATACATAAATAAATACGAATTCGGTTATTTAATGTTGTAAACAACGGCTAATTTAATTGAGACAAATTTCCCATTTTTGTTTAAATTCTACTTTTTACTTTCTTTTGTATCTTTTAAAGTTCATTTAGTTTTAATGTGAAGAAATAAATTTCACCTCTTAGGGTTTCACAGAATAAATAAAATAAAATAAAACACAAAGTTGTTGGAATTTAAAACGTAACAAAATCTCAAACAACAAATAACACACACACACACACACACACACACACACACACACACACACACACACACACACACACACACACACACACACACACACACACACACACACCGTGTTTGACAGACAGGATTTTCGTCTATAAGGCGCGACTAGATTTAATCACAAAGGTCCGCTCTCTGTCTCAAAATCAAAAATCTCCGGATGCAGCAGCAGTCGGTCCTCATGGGCAGTTGTTGAAGGGGAGCATGGCTGCTTGCATTTAGCCCCGAGTAGGGTTGACCCCGGTGCTGTTCTCTCTGGTGACGTGTGTGTGTGTGTGTGTGTGTGTGTGTGTGTGTGTGTGTGTGTGTGTGTGTGTGTGTGTGTGTGTGTGTGTGTTCCCAGGCACCCCCTGTTCCCCTTGCTTGCACTGATTTTTGAGAAATGTGAATTAGCGACCTGCACCCCCAGAGAGCCCGGGGTGGCGGGAGGAGACGTCTGTTCATCGGAATCTTTCAATGAAGACATAGCAGTGTTTGCAAAACAGGTCAGCAAAGTTTGACTTCTGTAAGATGCATCTTGCTCGCGCTGGTCGAGCTCCTATGTCCTCTGACTTTTGCACCAGTTCAGTTGGCACAAAAACACGTATCACACTATGACTCATTTTCTGTGCGTAAACCAGTGTGGGCATCTGTCAACTCATTTAAATGATAACACTGTATATAAAATGTATTTTTGATAAGTTTCTAAACCCTTCCTCTGTTTAACTTTTAGATTCGTGCAGAAAAACCTTTATTTTCATCAAATCCAGAGCTGGATAACTTGGTAAGATCATCTGAATTGTTTAATCTGACTCCATAGATCTTATATTAGTGGATAAAGCAGTGGTTGTTCTGCTGTCTCCGGGCTGGCTGCGTTTATGTGTCAGTCAACCACGTGGTGCTGAAACTTTCAAACGGGATTGCACATCATGCTCCTCCGTTTGGCCCCCGGTTGTATGTGCACATAAAGAGCCGCTGTTAGAAGGCTGTCACGCACCTTTGAACTCTGCCTGGAAAGTTATTTTATTCAATTTTTTCACTTTGTTCAGCCTGATGCTTTCAAACGTGACGTTAGAGCAACATTTTTCTCTCCAAGAAGGGTGGCTGATAGATCTCTGAAGCTCATCGCAGCTCCAGCCTGCACCACGCGCCTGCTATCTTTACTGCAATAAGTTTAATATCAGTCCCTCATAAAAACACACTCATATGAATATTTCCCTCATCTTGAAGTTTCTTGTATTGAGAAAAACGCGCCCGTTTAATATCACCAGATGTGAACAGCTCATTTTTTATTGTCAAATTAATTTTTCAGATGATTCAAGCCATTCAAGTTTTACGATTTCATCTTCTGGAGCTGGAGAAGGTAATTTCCATTTTCTGTCCTTCAGACCTATGCGGCTGTGTTTGCATAAATGCACATATTCTTTTCTTCTGGTCGGTTATAATTGGCGTCAAAATCAATCACCGGGCCATTTCTTGTCCGCGTTTAATCACGACGCAAGCTGTTACAACTGGAACGGCTATCTCTGCGTCCAAATCTCTGCCATGTTTTAATGAAGTTTCATGTTGGCATGATTCCATGCAAAGGTGAAACATTTGGGCAAACTTTGCGGATTTGGGAGCAGATTAATTTTAGCAAAGGCATGAGTCCCCAGGCGGCCATCTGTGGATAAACCGAGCGAGTGTGATAGTGTGATTTGTTTCTGTATTAGTCTGTAAAGTCAAAGTTTTACATCCAAAACGAAATTTAAATAGATTTAAAGATGCACGCTGTGTTTTTTCTTCATATGTGTGCAGTTTGGCGCTCTGATTTTGCGCAAAATCCAAACAAACTTGTTTTCCCAAATCTCAACCTTTCTTACTCATCGAGATCACGTTTTACTGTCCATGCACTACTATAGCGGGCTCAGGTTGGCAGTGATAATGTAATAATAAGTAGACAGAATTAAACAGTTTACATCAAATGTCAGTCATGCGGGTCTTCTCCTGCTAATGGCCACTACCTGGGGCACCGATGAGGAATTTAACACGGGTGTTGAGTGTGTTTTAGCCTCTGAGCCCTCTTGTCACTGTCAATTTTCAACGATATCTTTATTTTGAGGGGAGAGAAATTTAAGTCACCATCACGAGATAGAGGGAGTGCGCGGCCACGAATAGCGCACGAGGCGCGGAACGCACTATGCATTAAGAATAACTCCAAAATGATCCCATTTTAAGATAATTATGAAGAAAATGTGTATGGATTTCAAATAAAAGTTTGGCGAACATAACTTTTATTGTTTAGGGGTATTTTACGCAACATGTGAGCGTCTTTTACGCACAATCTTCCGGGTTTTATGTTAGTTTTGCACATCAATAAGCTGGGTTGTGTGCTTGTTTTTTTTTTTGAGTGATCCCCTCACGCTTCTTCCTCGTCTCTCTGCAGGTACACGAGCTGTGTGATAATTTCTGTCACCGGTACATCAGCTGTTTGAAAGGCAAGATGCCCATCGACTTGGTCATAGACGACAGAGAGGGCGGGTCCAAATCAGACAGCGAGGAAATCACAAGATCGGTAGCCCTAGATCAGGTAGGCTCCATCCCTTCATCTCTGCGTGCGTGTGTGTGTGTGTGTGTGTGTGAGTGCGCGTGCCCGTGAGTGTGTGCGTGTGTGTTCTCCCTGCTGGCTATTCAGCTATTCTGGGTCACTGCTCCACTCCGCTGTTATTTGCATACGATTAAAGCCGTTTTGCATTCCATCCATCGGAATGAAAAAAGGGAAAAAATCTGAATAATGTTGCTATTATTGGTCCATTAAGACTTGAACCCGGAACCGACCTGGGAAGATTACCTCGGAAAAGCATCGCCATAAACTTGACCTGTTTCATGTCGATTTTAATTTAGAGATTCTCGTGTTTTTTTTTTTTTACCTCTTTCTGAAGCTCCAAGCGAAGCGGAGAGGGGGGAGCGCGGCACCATCTCGGGCTGCACACTGAGCTTCAGATGCCTCAGCTCCTCCACTGTAGAGTTCACGGTTCATTACGCGTCTTGTCAGTATTTTTCCTTAGACATGAGTGCACATTGCTTATCGGAACCCCTCCTCTCCTCCTGCTTTTATTTGGCTCCGAGCGCACAGATCCAGCACCAATAAGACGGTTTATTTTGGAGGAGCAGCGGGTATTAAAGGTAGATTAGGAAGTGTTTCCTTTGGTGCAGATATCACAGATAACCACAGCCTTCATTATGTGCTCCACTGACTGTTGGCACTCCAGGGACATCGTATGCATACTGGCATGACCCTAATGGTCCGTGCTGCCGTTAGATAATGATTAGAAATATGCAAATCTAGATTTCGGACATTAACAGCGTCAGCCACGGGAAAGTTGTTCAGTAAGTTAAAACATCCCATAATTTTAAAGGGCTTTGGAGTATATAACTTATGGATGGTGAGGAGGAGGAGAAACTAAGTGTCCAAATTAAAGGGATTAGCTGGATAGTCCGACATAAAAAGTAATGAAGCGATTAGGCTAAACAATTTAAATCCGCGGCCTTCCATATGGTTGAGTGGTTGGTCTGAGAAGAGAGCGAGGCAGCAGCGGCTTTTATGTTCTGGGGCTGCTGAATGGCAGGGCTGGGAGAGAGGAGCTGGGCCGACTGGGAAGATCCCCACCCCGCCGCGCTGCAGCGCGCGCATGTCCCCGGCCCTTCTGTCTGATTATGGAAATGAGAAAAGATCACGCGGAAGATAATACTTCATTTAATCCAGGAACATAATTAAATAACACAGACGCCACTTGTGCATTTAAGTGTCTCTTTGAACGGGGTTGTATTCTCTCAGGGATTCAGTTGTCAAAGAGAAAAAAGTTGATATGTTTGAGAGATGGGTCAGAAGGAAGCCTTGATGTTACATCGGTATGGAAGTAATAAGTTAGAACCCTTGGGTTTTAAGGTATATGAAGGAAAGGATGTTGTGCTTTGGGCACTCAGATCTTTAATTGCCTGTAAGATGAAGACATGGCCTATTTTAATATAAAGACCCCCCCCCCCCCCCCCCCACACACACACACACACACACATGAAGCCAATTCAGGACAGATCCACATCAGCTTATGTTTGTGCTGACAGAATAATGTAATTGACCTGCAGGCCAAGTTGATAGGTGTGTGTGTGTGTGTGTGTGTGTGTGTGTGTGTGTGTGTGTGTGTGTGTGTGTGTGTGTGTGTGTGTGTGTGTGTGTGTGTGTGTGTGTGTGTGTGAAGGGCATATCCAAACAGGCAGAGGGTGCATGCCTTTCAGAGCTGAATACCGGTATTGTCTGTCTTATGGCAACACTTCATGACTCACTTGCAGCTGAACATATATATTTGTTGTATTTGTGTGTGTGTGTGTGTGTGTGTGTGTGTGTGTGTGTGTGTGTGTGTGTGTGTGACATCTTATCTGCGGTTGTTAGGCAGCGGCACCCTTAACAAATTTGCATTGTGTGTGCATTATCTCTTCCCATATGTATTTTTAATATATGCCCTCGGGCATAAAGTTGAAGTGGACTGGAAAGAAACGCCGTGAATTTGCACGAAAGAACAATGTTAACAAGATGGAGAAAGTGGGCTCATTTATTCATAAACCAATTTATTCCAGTGAGGCGACTGCAGCAGAAGAGGGGAAATGTCAGAGGGAGGAAAAAAATACTTTGAATTGATTAAACTCAGCAATCCAACTTTTTTTTGCTATTATTCACCCTTGCATCATAAATGTAATTTCAGCATTTTTGTGCCTTTATTTTGTTTTTTATTAAAATCTTTTTATGGCTTTCTAAAGAAAGTAGCACATAGTGAAGAGGTGAAAAAGTCAGAGGCTGTGCACTGGTGAATGCAGCTCAGCTAGTCTGGGCTTACCCTTCCATGTTTGTATGTGTGTGTCTCCCTGTGCAATGTGTGTGTGTGTGTGTGTGTGTGTGTGTGTGTGTGTGTGTGTGTGTGTGTGTGTGTGTGTGTGTGTGTGTGTGTGTGTGTGTGTGTGTGTGTGTGTGTGTGTGTGTGTGTGTTCAGACTGGCCTGATAAATGCAGCACCCCCTCAGGTGCTATGTGAGTGGAGTGACTGGTTAACGCCATTTGGACTCCCTTAACTCCTTGCTTGCCGCTCTCTAAAGTTTCCATTCATGTCAGAAATCTGCACGTTTAGTTTTGCACCGCTAGCTGAACTCTGAACTCCTCTCTGAAGGACACACTCGCATGCAGAACAATTTATTTTCAGGCATACGCTGAAAATAGCAAAGTGTGTCCCAACTCTGCTTGTTGTGGAAATATGGCTGCAGTGACTGGCCTGGTTTAGTGCACACATGTGCGCCTCACTCTGAAAAATCAGGGAGTTGTTTTAACGCCGTACGTCATTTTGCACAGTTACCTTTAATTGCACAGAGAGCACATGGAGGGGGACGCCAATTTGCTGATGAACTGAGAGGGCCTGGGCCCTTCGCCGTCGTGCTGAACACTACTAATAGTGCTGAGGACTCACTCCAAGTCTCAAGAGCTCCTCTACTTGATTGAGCCGTGCAGGCTGAAGTGGGGCTGGAAATAATTGAAACTTCACTAAAATAATTCACAAGCTGACTCTTTTTTGAAGATGTAGGAGCCTTAAATGATGGTGAATGCTCAGCTATTGAGTTAATTTAATGGAGAGGTATTTCTACGCTGAGGAGGCTTGGTCACGTAAAAACACCACAGAACTTCTGAACATCTGAAACCTGCACATGTGCTGTTCCTACACCTTAGCCCAGCTTGTGTGGGTTAAGCGTGGTCGCTACATGAGGATTTACTCCTGATAGCACTATAACAGCATCTTTTACCCAAAAATGGCACTGGTAGGTTGCTTGAGTGTGGGGTTCCAGGTCAGTGAGACCCAGCAGTGTTGGTTTAGGTAACTCTGGCTCTCGGAGCCCCCCCCTAACATCCTAACCCAATGGAAACCATGACTGCCAGGGTCAGCCTCTATTTTCCTAATCAGTACATTGCTATCGCTAATCTATCCGCCTCTCGTCGAGGTATGGATTGGGTTTCACCCGACCTAACAGCCGCGCTCACTCGCTCTCCTACAGTGGCACGCTGCTGTTCTTAATACAAACTTTTGATTTTTTGTAGTGATTGTTGGTAATAGCAGCTTTTGTAGTTGAATAGAGGAGAGGTTTGACCCTCACGGTCACCCCCTCCCTCCTCCTCCTCCTCCTCCCCTAAACTCCCCTTTTTTTCCTCTTTTGGGGAGTGAATGCCGAGCGGCTGTTGAGGATTCAACAAGTGATACAAAGAGGAGACCACGTGACTCGTGTGTTTCTTAGCCTCTTCATTATAGTGGTGGAATAACAAGTAGGGGTGATTATGATTATGCAACTCAAGGCTAAGTGACATCAAAGATCAGGAATGCCGGAACCTCCTAAATACCCACATTTATTCAGACATCCTCTGTGCATTTGTGCGTTTTTTTGTTGCAGTTGATTTATTGTTTGTTTTAAAATCTTGCAGCATTGCTGAAAAGTAGTGCTTACCACAGGATCCCAGCTGTGAATGAGTTCTTGGAGCGTGATTCCTGATATTTATGATGAGCGGCCTGTACCTGAAGCCTGCTATGGTTTCTTTGGCCTAAGCAAACAATAGCCTGGCTTAACACATGTGTACTTAGCTAATGGAAAGTTCCTGTCCCCCTTAACCCCCTGCAAGCTCCTGACAATGGCCACCGTCACAAACAGCTTGTCTCTAAGGAATCCATCGAGGAAATCCCAGTGCGGTGGCTGCGAGTTAAGCTAGGCTAGGCTATGGGAGAACCTGCTGCGAAGCGAGTCATTAAGAAATCATGCCAGCCTTTTCATTCACAACTCAAAGAAACAAAACAGGAATCTGCTTTGTTTGGGGTTAGCTAGCATGGAGGGAAGAGCACTTGACTTTGTGTTTTTGTTTGGATTTCAGCTCTGGCGGGATAAACACAGAGCGAATCGCAGCCGCTCAAGTGGAAGAGGCTGCAGAGAGAAATAAAATCAGTTTGTCAGTTTCCACGAGTGCCATCTAAACAGACTTTGAAAGCTCTGGTAATTATCTCAAACATGCAATTATCTTAGCTTGTCTCTGTGAGGTTAACCTACCAGTTTTAAAAAGCCAATTGAAGAGTACCTGACGGCTATTCAACGTAGCATACTTTACACACTCAAGAGACCAAATCCAGTTTTCTTCCTCGCCCCTTCAGCAATTATAAGGTTATTTCTCCTTTCTTTGTCTATTGTCAGGAGTTAGAGGGGAAAGGGAGTGGAGAAGGGAGGGAGCGAGGGGTCTTTAGCTTTTTCTACCCCCTCACTCTTTTTTTCCACGCATACCATTATCAGCCCCTCTTTTCATTTTGGAAGCACTAATATCGCAGCGAGGGGAGGAGACGGGTGGAGAGAGCTGAGAAAGCAGAGGTAGTTGGGCGAGCACTTGCCTGGCTGGTTATCAGAGAGGTAGATCCTGCTTTATCTAGTCACAGTGGAAAGCAAAGTAAACAAGAGTTTACAATAGTTGGCCTTTCACTCACGGCTTTCCCACCAGCGCACGGCTGAGTGGGAGAACGTGTCCGCAGTTATTGCGGGCCGTCTTGCTGCTGCAGCTCATGGCATTCTGGCAGCTTTCAGCTCTAGGAGGCAGCGGCGCTGTTGCAAAAGGTCAAAAACTGTGTTAAAGAAAACAACCACATCAGGAATTCTGAGGCACGGCGTAACCCGACTGTCATCCTCGATTCAGATGTACCACCGCGGAGGAGCGTGTACGTGGGGGGCTTATTTGGATATTTATGTCTGTGCCGTTAAGTATGCACATACGATTATTTCCGCGTGCTCACTGGCTCAGTGTGAAAAGTAAATATCCGTATGATCACAAAAGACTTTTCTGAGGAAAAAAAAGGAAGGCAGAGTGGGGTGGCAGAGCACAACAACCCCGACCATTTTCTTTATTATTGCAAATGAAATTGGCAAGGCAACATTTCTTGCATGAGTGCTTGTATGATGTGGGGCCTGGCACAGCGAGGAAGGGAAGTCTCTTTTGCATCTTAGACAAGGCACACTGAGAATGCATCGGATTGGAATGCCTCACCGATCATAGCCAAATCAGAATTTCCAGCAAGGAAAATCTTTTCACGGTGAATTAGGGTGGTGCAGAGAAGGGGGAGTAAGGTGTGGTGGTGGTGGTGGTGGTGTGTGTGTGTGTTGGGGGGAGGAAAAAAGGTATGTGTGGCTTAAAAAAAGGGTTCTCTCGGCTTGGCGGAAGATTTAAGAACTTTAGCTAAATCTAGGTAGAATAGAAGGTGGAAAATTGAATTTACTGAACAATTAGGCGTTGAATTAATCTGAATTTTGCACAGAAGAGACCAGGCAGGAGAGAGAAAGAGTTAAGAAGAGGAGTGAGAGAGCTTGCTGGCTCATTAAGGGGAACAAAATGAATCAAGCGTGCAGCGTAGGGTGCAGAGAGCTTCTGGTGAATTTACACATTTCTGAAGTGTCATGTGTTCTCCTTGCTTTCTGTCTGTCTTCTGGTCAAGGTGAGTGCTTTTGTTAACATGGCAGGTGTGCATGTGTTTGTAGATAAAAGTATTTGTATGTGTGGGAGTGTTTGCACAGGCTAAGAGACCAGGAGGAGTGTGTTTGAACACACACGTTGTGAGACCTGTGTGTACTTGTGTTATCTCAGCCGTGTGTGTATTAATTGCGTGTTGGATCAGTGCTGGGCCTGTTCCATCCGAGGGCAGCCTGTGATTATAAATAAACTCCGCGTCCCCACAGAGATGCCACCAGGCCCTGCCTCAGCTCCGCCCCCTTTCCCATGGGGCCTCAGTGGCCAGCTCCCAGCAGGCAAAGCGCTCTTTTGTTCAATTACAGCTAATGTAGGAGTTTGCCATTTCCCCCTTCCACTTTCTAATTATATTTTTAAATGGAATTTGTAAGAGATTTACAAAAAAAAATAAATAAAAATCACATCCTTTCTGCAAGCAGAGGCTCTTGGAATATCTTAGATTTTTGTTTCTTCACTAGTGGCTGCCTGACATCCCCGGGGATACTGAGCAATTCTCTTTCACAGAACTCTGAATAAACAAGTTCTGCTCATTTTCGAATGCTGCAGCTTTTGGAGGAATTGGAAAAAGCCAGAGTTAACTGTTTGTGTTGTGAGCATGTGGTCTGGATTACCTCACCTCGGATGTTCTCTGGAGTCACTCGGTCATGCATGGGTGTTTCGGTTTTTTCTCCTTCTTCCATGGTCAGCAAAAATAATTTCTATGAGTTGAAAAAAACAAACAAACAAACAAAACAAACTTCATCTTGGTGTCTTATCCCCATTGAAATCAACCTTTATCTACCCGATCACAATCCCATGCATGCCTTTGTGTGGCGACTCTAGTCTTTGTTGCAAAGCCTCAGAGCCTAATTTGGAAAACGATTATATTGTCCGTGTAAGCACTGGATTATAATTTCATAGCCTGGGAACATCAAACGAGCTCTAATATGCCCCAAATGTGTTGAATTTGCTGACTTGTATTTCTTTCTGTTATTCTATTCCATCCATGTTTTGTTTTAGACAAATTCTGTGTCATGAAATAATGCCTCTCTTTTTTTTCTTTTCTCATAAAGCTGAGCTGAACTCAGAACCCCTCTCACAGCGCCAGCCATAGAATCCCAATTGAAACCAGTTGTTCCCCACACTGTTCTTCTCCTCTCCCTCTTCTCTTCCTCCGTGTGGGTTTCAATCACTCGTTTCGTCGTGAAGCCCTAAGAGCGAGATGCGAGCACCACATTGCCCCCTTGATATCTGCTTCATTTGATTTCCACAGAGCAAAGATGGGCTCGCGCAGGCGGTGGAGGAGGCGCGGAAAGTGTTTGTTTGTTTGTGATATCAGCTTGTATCTGAGGCATTAGATTCCATTTCCTTTTATTCTCTTTTCTCTCCTGTCTTGAGCACTAATGTTGCTCCGCAAAGCCGTGGGAGACATCTGGTTTAGTTAGCGTTAGCAGCCTCGTGTGGGGGCACATTTGTGCGTTTTCTTACAGCATTTATTCAGATATGTAGCCATCCTTAGACGTCTCATCCGTCTGTAGGATTGTGTTTGTTGTTGTCCTCTCTGTCTCTTTACACTGTTTGTGCTGCGTGGTTATTGTGTTTTCTGTCCTCTCTGGACCGTTCTGCTAACTGATGTCCACCTGACACTCATCTGGACTTAGACACATAACGTTATATTAACTTGAGTCCCCAGAGTCCGTCTAGTCAGCTGAAACATTTTAGCATCAGTCAACTTTATATATATATATATATATATATATATATATATATATATATATATATATATATATATATATATATATATATATATATATATATATATATATATATATATATATGTGTGTGTGTGTGTGTATGTATGTTTTCAGTCAGCCTCAACTGGATTGGTCATGCAGGATTCGGTTTCGCTGTGTTTGACTGTGAGAAAACATTGACTTATTTGATTATGCTTCTGTGCTGTTGCCCAAAAAGGAAATTTAATTCTTTATTATTAGGACTGGTCGTCCATTTTTTTTCTTCTTTTCTTACATTTTTGGACAAAAGCTGAACATTTAAAGTGATGTGGCAATCCTTGACTTATTTGCCTCCCTCTGCTCCGCATGACATCACTCCCTGGGCTGCGCTAGCCATACTTTATCTAAAGTTGTAGCTGTTTTGTGTTTTCATCTGCTAGTGGTTTGGGCCAAATGGAGGCAGCCACAGATTGCATGCTTCAGAAAAGCTGGGAACTGAAGCAGCGTGTTTGCTTTTTATTCCTCTTTTCATAAAGTCCCAATAACCTGCATTCCATAAGGAAATGTTCTGGGGCCTAGGCCTTGGAGTTAGGAACGATGATTTTACTCTAAGTGTCATTTTGTCAGACAAAAAGTGATAATGTCACTGTCTCTTTTCTCCACAGACGTCCTGGAACAGAGATCACGACGACACAGCGTCCACACGCTCTGGAGGGACACCAGGGCCGTCCAGCGGTGGACACACATCACACAGTGGGGACAACAGCAGCGAACAAGGTCAGAGTTCATGCAGTACGACGAGTACACACACTTCTTTTTACATCAAGTACACGACGGAAAAATGTGTCATGAGTTTTAAAGGCTTCCTTCAGACGGATGCAGTTTTTGCAGCATCTCATATTTCCTGCTAATAAATCAGACTCAGGTTATTTAGTAATGTCTCTTTGACCTGGAAGGTAATCATTGCCTTTTATTTAGCTTTTTTCTAAGCAAAATTGTTCTTTTGAGTTCAAAAATAATCTTAAAAGCTTTGCTACAAAAAATGAAGTTGGTTATTTTGCGCAAGTTCAATGGTTGGATGCAGATTTGTCGATTTATTTATCTGTCTGAACACTTATATGTGATATTTCCCTCCTACTGCTGGGCCTTGATGTTGATATTTGTGTGCTTGTGTATTAATGAGAAACACACACACATAAATATGTT